GAAATGGAGGGAGAACTTCCAAATTCCTTCTATGAAGCCAGCATCACTCTTTACCAAAGCTAGCTTTCAGAATTGTCTCTTTGTTTTGTGCTTGTTTTTATAGCCGAAAAAGAAAACTATAGACCCATATCCTTAATGAACATAGATGCAAAAATTCTCAGCAAGATACTTGCAAACCGCATACAGACACACATCAAAAAGATCATCTACCATGATCAAGTCGGCTTTATCCCGGAGTTGCAGGGATGGTTCAGTATATGTAAGTCAATAAACATCATATATGATATAAATGGACTCAAAGACAAGAATCACATGGTCATCTCAATAGATGCAGAGAGGGCCTTTGACAAAATTCAACATGCATTTATGTTCAAAGTCCTAGAGGGAACTGGACTGGAGGGAACATACCTCAACATAATTAAAGCCATATATAACAAACCCACAGCCAACATCATTCTAAATGGAGAAAAACTGGAAGCATTCTCATTGAAATCAGGAACCAGACAAGGCTGTCCACTATCCCACTTTTCTTTAACATAGTACGTGAAACTCTTGCAAGAGTAATAATTGGAAAAGGAGATCAAATTATCCCATTTTGCAAATGATATTATATCTAAGGAACACCAAAAATTCCACCTGAAAACTCCTAGAAATTATTAACATGTTCAGTAAAGTGGCAGGTTACAAAATTAACCTATAAAAGCCTATAGCCTTTCTATATACCAATAAGAAGCAATCAGAGAAAGAGCGCATGGAAATACTCCATTCACAATAGCTGCAAAAAATAAAAAATAAAATATCTTGGCGTAAATCTGACCAAAGACATTAAAGAGCTCTACAATGAAAATTTTAAATCTTTAAAGAAAGAGATTGAGGAAGACATCAGAAGATGGAAGGACCTCCCATGCTCATGGATTGGGAGAATTAATATTGTGAAAATGACCATCCTACCAAAAGTCATATATAGATTCAATGCAATGCCAATCAAAATCCCCATGACATTTTTCACAGAATTGGAAAAAATCATCCTAAGATTCATATGGAAGCACAAATGACCTCGGATAGCCAAAACAACCCTGAGTACTAAGAGCAATGCTGGGGGGATTACTATACCAGATTTCTGTATTACAGAGCTATAGTCATAAAAACAAAATGATACTGCACAAAAATAGACCCATAGACCAACAAAACAAAATTGAAGACCCAAATATGAGCAAATGTTAATTTCAGCCATCTGATATTTGACAAAGGGGCCAAGAACATTAACTGGAGGAAAGAGCATGTTCAGCAAATGGTGCTGGCAAAACTGGATCTCCACTTGTAGAAGAATGAAACTAAACCCCTATCTTTCACCCTGCACGAAAGTCAATTCCAGATGGCTCAAAGACCTTAATGTAAAGCCTGGAACTCTGAAACTATTAGAAGAAAACATTAGGAAAAACCTACTAGATATAGGCATAGGAAAGAGTTTTCTAAACCAGACATCAATTACTCAGGAAACAAGGGCAAGAATTAACAAATAGGACCTCATTAAATTAAAAAGCTAATGCACATCAAAGGAGACAACCAAGGAAGCAAACAGAAAACCCACAGAATGGGAGAAAATTTTTACCAGTGACACATCCAACAGGTTTAGTAACCAGAAGGATTTATATAAGACTTCTAGAAAGATTTGGGCTAAGGGATTCAAATTAGCAACAGTAGCCAAGTGTGGTGGTGCACACCTGTCATCCCAGCATAGGGGAGGTAGAAGCAGGAGGATCTGAAGTTCAAGGTCAGCCTTAAGTTTCACACCAGCATGGGCTAATGAGACCCTCTTTCAAAACAGCAACCACCAAAAAAGAAAATCCAAAATAAAAGTCAGAAAAATGGGTTTGGAGAGATGGCTCTTGCAGAGGACTAAAGTTGGGTTCCTAGCACCCACATCAGGCAGCTCACAACCTCCTTGACTCCAGCTCCAGTGTGATTAGATACCTCTGGCCTTCACAGACACCTGTACACACACACACACAATTAAAAATAAAAAGTTTTTAAAAAATTGCAACCTTAAGGGCTGTCAATAAACATGTACTTCCAAATAAAACACATGGTTTGGCATGTTAAGTTTAGAGTCTTCAAAAAAGTGACAAATTCACAGAAAGAGCTGTTAATTTGCTCATCAGGCTTTTTTTCACTGAGAAATGGTGGAGTTACTCATCATTTCAGATATTTTGTTTTCCTGAATACTTAGCACTGACATAGAATGTCTAAACTGTTGGTTTAAAAGATTAAAGGAGCAACTTTTGAAACACATTTTCTGTAGTCAGGTGTTGGCACACGATAATTTTAGAACTATTTCTAAGTGCTGTGCCTGTGCATAGGAGCCTTGAGCGCCTCTGGTGTTGAAAGTGACACAGTCCTCCCCTCGTGGGACACACACTGAAGTCATGGACAGACAGCATGATTTGAAATGTGGATGGATACTGTGAGTCTACATAGCAATCACATAGAAAGGGATTAGGATGTAGTTATTTTAGTAAAGGATGATCAAAGTTTTCTAAGGAGGTGGTGCTTTACCTAAGACCAGAAGTGAAGAAAAGGAACCAAATAGGTGCAGGGGAGGAAGGTAGATAGTTCTCTGCAGGAGGAATAAAACAAAGCCTCTGGGAAAGAGTGAGTTATGCATGGAGTTTAGTCAGGGAGACTGATGTGAAGTTGGAGGAGGCTCAGATAGTGGTAAATGGTGACCCGATACGCTGCATGTTTATTGTACTCTGAATGGCTTAGATGTTTCCTGAACTAATAAGATGATTCTTCTTATTTTTTAAATAATCCTCTTTCAGATCAGGTATTTGGATCTAATCTTGCTAACTTGTGCCAGAGAGAGAATGGGACAGTGCCAAAGTTTGTCAAGTTGTGCATTGAGCATGTCGAAGAACATGGTAAGAGAGTGGTCAGACTTTAGCCTTGCATATCAAACAAAGGAGTGCATTGCTTCAGCATCAAAATCCCTAGGGCTGGGCCAACAAGGTAGCTCACCAGATGAGCCTGAGGGGCTGAGAGAGAAGTCCTGCAAGCTGTCCTCTGACCTCCACACATGCACCATGGCACCACCCTGCCCCCCGCAATAAATAAATGTGGGATTTTTTTTAGTTTTCAATGAGGCAGCCAAAAGTTCCTTATGGTTCTAAAATGTTTAAAAAAGATGTGAAGCGTTTTGTTTGAAAAAAAAATTACAATTTTTGCCATTCAAGTTAAGACCTACAGACATCATTCATTGTTTACAATATGATTAATTACACTGTTGTCAAATTACACAAATGGGGAAAGCCATTTGGAGCTGCTGGTGCTTATTTAGAAATGAGAATAGTGGTGATTGTGAAGCAGAGTTTAAGGGATGATGTGACAGTGTAGTCAAGCTGAGGGTGCTATCCACTCAACAAGAGAATGCTTGCTTTGTGATGATAAAGATGAGAGGCTAGTTATAAAGTATCAGAGTAGATGAGTCCTTTTTATGTTGTTCCTTGGAAATAAGACAAACTAATTTCTTTTTTAAAAAATATTTTATGTGTATGAGTATATTGCCTGTTTGTATTTAACTACACCTGTGTTGTGCAATGCTCCCAGAGCTCGGAAGGCAGCATCAGGTCCCTTGAAACTGGAATTATGGACAGTTGTTACCTGCCATGTGGTGCTGGGAATCGAACCCAGGTCCTCTGAAAGAGCAGCCAGTGCTCTAAACCGCTGAGCCATCTCTCCAGCCCCTAATTTCCATTTTTATTGAATTGTAACATTTATGATTTACAAGTTTCTTACAAATAGACCACATATTTACTATAAGCACAATAACATCTGTATATATAAAAAACCGATTCTACAGTTAGAACACTGTGTTATTTAATTTGTAATTTCTGTTAGTTTCAGATATTTTGTCTCTTGTCAATGTGACTGTCAAGGCACCTCGCTACATACTTCCTTTATTTGAAGCTAAATGATTAATAGCACATTAGAAATGAGCTTTGTTAAATGTTTACAGCATTGTTATTTAATGAGTATTTAATTTTTTTTTTTTTTTTTGTCTTTTTGAGACAGGGTCTCTCTGTAGACTCAGCTGTTCTAGAACTCACTATGTAGACCAGACTGGCCTTGAACTCACAGAGATCCACCTGCCTCTGCCTCCTCTGTGTTGGGATTAAAGGAGTGTACCACCACGCCTGGTGAATCTTTGAAATTTTTAGGCGTAATTATGTGACTTTTAAACCTTGATTCTGGTCTGTATCCAAAAGAAAATAATTATATCAAGGGGTCTATTTTTTTCTATAGAACCATTTATTATTAGCTTATAACATGTTTATCATAAGCAATTAATAGGGAAAACACTTTGAAAAGAGAGTGCCAATCTCTCATTGTAATGGTGTGCAACAAGACAGATGTGTTGATTTTATCTTTACTTTTTAAACTATTCCCAGGTATTTCTAAAAGTTGACCTCAGATTGTTATTTTGAGTTTCAGGGACATTTTCCTTGAGCTAAACCATAGCCTGCCTAGTAAAGTAGAATTAATTCTGTTTATTAAACAGAAGTCAGAGTAAAGAATACCACCTTTCTTCCTCTCTAAGACTCTAACAGGCCATTTAGAGGAGGAGAGTATGTGTCCATCTGATTTTCAGTGAGTGCTGGGTAAGAACTCTGAAGCTGGGTACAGTGGTTTGTTTATATTTCCAGTTGCTTGAGCCCAGGATTTTGAAGCCAGCCTGGGCAATATAGTGAAACTCCCAAACCGAGACACTTACACATCTTTTGAAGCAGCAAACAAGTCCATTTAAGCATGAACTATTACTTTCCCATAGGTTTGGATGTTGATGGTATCTACAGAGTAAGCGGCAACCTTGCCGTGATCCAGAAGCTGAGGTTCGCAGTCAATCATGGTAAGTGTGGGCTCCTGCTGTTGGATCACCCGTAGAAGTGCTTAAAGAGGCTTTAAAAACTACCCTGTTCCTACTGTTTTTCAGATGAGAAACTGGACTTGAATGATAGTAAATGGGAAGATATTCATGTCATCACTGGAGCACTCAAAATGTTTTTTCGAGAATTACCAGAACCTCTTTTTACATTTAATCATTTTAATGATTTTGTTAATGCAATTAGTAAGTATGTCACACCACTCAGTTTTTTTTCTTAACACTGAAAATCCTTTCCACAGATTGTTTGATCTTATTTTAAGCAAGTTTTGTTTTTTTTTTAAAAATTTCTTTATTTTATTTTATGTGTATGGCCTACATATAGGTAAGTGCACCCATGTCGTGAAATGCCCGCGGAAGACAGAAGAGGCTGTCGGATCCCCTGGGACTGGAGTTATGGACAGTTGTTAGCTGCCATGTGGGTGCTGGGATTCGAACCTGGGTCTTCTGCAAGAACAGTCAGTGTTCTTAATCGCTGAGCCATCTCTCCAGCCCCTTTGAACAAGTTTTTTGCAGTGGATTGTTTCGAGTACTGTGAACTGTGACCACCAGATGTCACTGTGCATTACCAAATACTGTCTTCCAAACTCTGTCATTGCTTCGTTTCACGAGAACTTTCTACAGTCTGTTTGTTACCTTTTTTTTAGAACAAGAACCAAGACAACGTGTCACTGCTGTTAAGGACCTAATCAGACAGTTACCAAGGCCAAATCAAGATACAATGCAGATTCTGTTTAGACACCTCAAAAGGTAAGAAACCTGCATGATTAGGAAGTATGGGTTGTATAGTGGAAAGCCTACAGGAGCAGGGTCACCCAGCCCCAGACTTTGTTCCCAGATATGCTGCTTGATGTTTTTGTGACTTCTGAAAAGAAACTCAACTCTGTATAGAGTCTGTTTCTTCTCAGTAAAGTACATGGTATGAAGACTATGTAAGCCTTCATGGCTCTACATTATTACTACACAGCTACTTTAATAACTCATTGTGTTCATATTACACAAAGAATATTAAAATACTAGAGTAGGCTGGCAGATGCCTCAGTATGTGAAGGCATATGCTGCCAAGCCTGATAACCTGAATTCAATCCCTGGGACCCATGGGATGAAAAGAGAGAACTGACTTCCACAAGTTGTCCTCTGACTTCTGCATGTGTGCTGTGGCACACACATGCATACACACACACACACAGGCACACACACACACACACACACACACACACACACAAAATTGAATGCTAAAATAAATAAAGTAAATGAAACCAGTTGGAAAAATACTTAAATAGCATTTTGATCTCTGTGCCCTAATGAAATCTCTCCATCAACATAGAGGATAAATCCTTGTTACCTGAATTATAACACACATTTTGGTCTATATTATATTCCGAAAATGAAGCTAAAATGCTAAAATACAACACATTTAAAGTTTGTCACCATATGTAAGGCTAACCTTTCAGCTGTGGTTAACCAAAACCAAGCTTCATATTGCCACCAGACCAAAATCTATATGGCTGAACAGTCAGCCTAGCAAAGTGAACACTTCTTTTTGAAAGGCAGATTGTTAGGTTTCTAAAACAACTCAAAAATGTACTCTATTTTTTAACTTTTTAAAAACAAGTTTGTTTTTCTCCCCTTAGGGTTATAGAGAATGGAGAAAAAAACCGAATGACGTACCAGAGCATAGCAATTGTTTTTGGTCCCACTCTACTAAAGCCAGAAAAGGAAACTGGTAATATAGCGGTTCATACTGTGTACCAAAACCAGATTGTAGAGCTAATTCTTCTGGAATTAAGTTCCATCTTCGGACGTTGATTCTCATGGAAGACAGCCTACGGAATAGAAGCTGGATTCCATCAGATTTCAGATCTTTATACACGATGTGTTTTGTTTTTGGACCAAGTAATGACTCTGATTTTGCACTTTTTTTGAGGGGATCAGAGAAGAAGTTGGGGAGAGTAAGGATGCCTGTTATGCCCTCTTATTTGCTGCTTTGTTGCAAGGTGATATGACTGTGTAGTATTGGGTTCACTTTATCCTGAATCCTTGCATCTCATACTCTGAAATTCAGTAAAAATCAAAACTCAGAATTCTAACCAGTCATATACACTGGATAATTTGGTAAGAAAAATCACGCTCCACCCCAGCTGCATAATGTAGAATTTCTTTTCATGAGCTCTAAGTTCTTCACTTGGTACAATAATCATTGTCAGTTATTTTGAAAACACTTGGGCATTTAAAACAAAATCAAGTCTATCCAGTTTGAATCCCATGTAGTTCTTTTCCAGCGTGTCTGCATGCAGTGGCAGTCTTCAGTGCTGAAGTTCATTATGACCCAGATAAGGCTGGATGAAGGCTTGCCGTCTAATTTTACTGTGCTGTGCAGCACCCTTACAGGATACCTTAGTTGCTTGTTTCATCAACACACTAACAGTACTTAAAACACTGTGATATACTGGAATTCTTATGGGCATAAGTCAGTTCAGGGTATTTGGGACCTTCTTGCTATACTGAATTGTAGCTAACAATCCTAATTATATCTAGTGCCATATTGAGTTCTTGGTATGACCCTGTGGCAACGGACATTATTTGATGTAAATACGGGCTGAAGACTTAATGTCATTTAGCTTATGTATATAATTGTGCTGTAGAGCCTCAGAGTACATTCTAACCCTACATTTCTAATCATAGTATTGATAATCTTTTCCACGAATATTAGGTTCCCTGCAGAAATGGGGTGTCATTTGGGAAAGTTACACTGCACTTTTAGATTTTGATTACATTTACAGGGAGATCATTGCAATGGGAATGGTGCTAGAGAAATACTAACGTGACTTGTCAGTGGTGAATGCACTACAAGAGGAACCTCTTAGATTGTTACTGTGTACAGAGTACATTAGAAGTATTATCACAGAATTCTAATTCTGCAGTTGCATAGTGGGAACTTGTATAAATTAGCTGGCTATTAGATGGAAAAGGACACTGCTAAATTTGAGTATATCTTTTTACATCACTAATGTAGATTGATTTGTATAATAAAACAGGGTTTGGAAGGTTTTGTTACAGGGAGCATGATCTGTTGAAAAATTTTAAATGTATTTTTCTAGATTAACTGCTGTATATGAAATGTCTAATCTAATAAAGGAAACTATAAGAGGCTTAGAGACTTTTTCCACTGGAGATGTGCATTTTGGTTGTTAATTTTTGCTTTTTGTTTTCATCTAATGGCATACTTTTTTTTTTTACCTCATTTTAGAAAATCAGCTGAATCAGATATTTCTGTGGCAGATACATTTTCTCACTTCATCTGTTTTCTGTTCTTTTCCATACCAACACATCCCTAACATACTTTTTATTTTTTCTTTGTGTGTGAAAGTAAATGATTTGTGACAATGATTCCTTTTCCTAGGATTGCATTTATAATTTACCAGTTGTCTTCCTGGGAAACATTGTGTGTTGTTGTTGTTGTTGTTGTTTGTATGATCTGTTCAAAACTCTTTCTCCTGAGTCATGTGGCTAGAATATTGTACTATTGTAATTTTCTTAAATGGGTAACAAACCAAACTACTTGACAGCTAAAGCAGATTGTTTTGGATGGGGAGAAGTAGTCCCAAATCAGAATGTTTGTATCTACCTGAGGATGTCATTAATAACACAGTTCTGTAGGTCACTTGTGTTGATCGTATACCAGGAAATCAGTTACACTCAAGTCTGTGATCTGTGGTGTTCTTTCTTGTGGTGATCATGAACATGTCAAAGGTTTAAAATTGTCTTATGTTTTCTTGTTTCAAAGTACATCTGTGTATGTGAAGTCTTAAATGTTGTATTAGTCTGCAGCTAATAATTTTATTGTAATATACGTTCAATGAGATCAGTGTCTTGTGTTTTCATCCTTTGTGAATTAAAAATTATCGGTTGTTTTTGTAATAACAAAACCAGTAATATTTTCCTGTCTTGACAGTTTGATTTTTTTTTTAGTAGAAAATATATTAAAAGTTAAAAATAAATATCAGTGGAATTTTATTTACTAATAAATAGGCCTTTCTTCAAAATATAACAAGAACATAATTGGAAATTGGA